AACCAGCTTAGAACTCCTAAACCTATTTCTAATCCTGTTTAGATTTAACTTGTTAATTTTTATAAGATGAAGATTTTTTTTCAATAATTATTCTACAAATATTTCAAAAACTATTGGGTTTGAAGGAAAATGTAAAAAAAACATGATTTCAAATATTGACAAAAGGAATATATCATCCTGTTTAGAAATGTTTTTGTGAGCAAGATTTGATCCTAATTTTTTTATAATTTTTTTCAGCCCGAAGTCCAGTATATTAAGAAAAATCTGTAAAGTCCTCCTTTGAGACCGCAAAGGTGACATTCCAGACACAATCGGAGGACTTTGCTCTTTTCCGAAAAGTCACCCTGATCGATCAAACCCAGAGTCAACTCCGAGTCAACTCTGGGTTTATAGGGAAAACCCAGTGAAGGAAGAAAAAAAGTCTGCGAAAGTTCCGTTAACCCATAGTGAACCCAGTGTTAACTCTGGGTTTAATCCATCAGAGCGGTCTCAAGGTGGGCTACATCTGCATGCAAGTCCACTGCATCTGCAATTGTTTTAATTTGGTGGAGAGACAGGGGAAGACACCAGAGGGAATAAGGACGCAACTGGTGGAGTGGCCCCCCTAAGGATCGCTGGACTGAGATCAATTACCTGCTGGTTGGTTTCGGTTAGGAGATCTGTCTCCTTGAGCATCCTCAATGTGGACAGCGTCCCAGAAAAAATCTTTTGCTCTTTCCCCCTGATAACACTCAAAATAATTGGGACACTGAACAGGATAAAAAAAATTCTTAATGTTCTATCACTTCCCACCACTTCTCTTCTGAAAGTCGATGCATGATCCATAATTTTCGAATATCGTTTATCAATCATGCTGTTCTAGTCGAGATTCAACAAATAATAATTGATTCTATGCGTAAAATATTAATGTTGAATGAATAATGAAAAAGAACACTTGATACGAAATGATTTTATTTACAAAATAAAGTACAGATTTTTCTATTAATTTCTAGTGTTAGTTTCTTTTTGGTCTGACCCTTGATTTTGTTCATAGGTCTCTCCTGCTTGAACTGCGCCTTCTTCATCAATTTTTTTTCTGCTGGTATTTGTTTTACTCCAACTCCACTTCTCCAATTTAGCTGAAAAGTCAAATGATTTCGTGAAATTTTGAGTTTGGGGAGAGGCTTTTTTTTTGGTAAGGTGATACAGAATTTTTCGTTGAGATTCATGAGGAATTGATGAAAAGAAATTTAATTAAAACAATTTTATCCCATGTTTTTTGGAATATCTTCGAAATTAGAGGGTTCAGAGACAATGTCGAAATATATTCTGTGGAGGTCATTACATTTTGTATAAAAAAGGTCTTCTGACATTTTGTTCTAAAATCACTCGTAATCGAGATAATTCAAATATTCCTGAAGGTTGATGAATTAGAAAAAATGAAAGAAAAATCGATTATATGTTCTCCTAAAATTACTGATTATCAACATAATTTAATCATCTATAAATGTTTTCGACAAAGAATGGCGATGAAAATTCGTAAATATCTATTGGAGCTACTCAAATAATCCTGGAATATCGTCCCCACTAACTGTAGCAAGCGTGAGCAGAAGACTTTGAAGTCATTGAAGACTTTCCTATTACCCGGAAAGCCTCGTTAATGGCTGCATATTTCGCATCATTCGGCATTCACAATTAGACAAATATTCCTCTCATTATCAGTTAGCTACAAGTGTTGATGATACTTAAATATCAACATTTCATTTGATTTTCTTTCATCCATTGTCTATTCAGGTTTAAAAGTAATAAATTGAATGACTATGAAATTCTAATTGAGAAAGAAAAAAAACTTCAAGAAATTTCGAATAATGTGCCCATTGAGCATTTTTTTCAATTGAAAATTTGTAGTGAATCGGCAAACTAGGATAATTACTACCCTGGTGGATCGATCGATGGCTACTCGATGGGGACTCGATAGGAGATCGACTAGTGCACTCGGTCGATGGTCGGTCGATCGTTCGTTGATCACTGGATAGATGGTTAGTCGATTGATGGTCGATCATTGGTTGATTGGTGGTCGATTGTTAGTCGATGATTAGTCGATTAACGGTCGATGGTCAATTGTTGGTCGATTGCTAGTCGATCATTGGTCGATCGTTATTTGATCGATAATCAACCAATCGAACAGCCATCGACTAGCACTTGACTGAGTGCTCAGCTCGACCCTCATATCGAGTGATCCATTAGGGTACGCATCTAGGGTCCGGTGTCGGTGGATATCTCGTGAGTGGGGACAGTTAAGACAAATTCCATGGAATTTTTTTTGTAGAGCGAAATGTGAGCTAAAAAAATCATGAAAATTTTGCGATTTCTCCTCATGTAGAAGATATTCATCACAGTGAAAACACCTCGGTAATCTACAAAAAAAAATTTATTCAGACGGGCATGAAACCTCATATCACGGACTAGATAACGAAAAAAAAGTTCGTCAGTCGGTGGCAGACAACTTTTCTGGCGATTTTGTTGTAATCTTTGACTTTGCTTCGGACTGCAAACACACAAACGCCAGAAAAGCTTTTCATGGCCTCAATGACAGAATCTACTATATAATTATTATAAATAGTATATTTCGTAACGAGCTAAAAAACATTTTTTCACGAGTTACAAACAATATTTTTCATCACAATGTGGCGGAAATTGGACTTTTAGGCACGCGGAGCGTGCCGAAAAGTTCACTTTTCGTCACAGCGTGATGAAAAAATACTTACATCCTATGACCATCAATACTCTCCCCCGATGGGGAGGGCGTTGTGGAGACTGCATTTTTCGTCAGCTCTTGGAGTCATGGGCATTCCCAAAACTCTTCGTTTCCCTCTGAAGCTCCTGAGAGGCGGAGTTCAATCTCGGCATTCTCTCAGGTGACTTTTGTGTGAAAACTTGGACCCCCGAACTATTGGCTACAAAAACTTCAATTCTCAGTGAACCTCGAATGTTTTCAGCTAATTCGACTTTACAGATTTTTCTTAAGGCCCGCATGGAGGGATTTTTTTCTGGAGTGGCGATTTTACGCCCCCCCACTTTGCGGTCAAAGCAAGAAGCTTTATCCGAACCATAGCTATGTCGGTAACTGCGGGAATGGCAGGAAACCAGGGTGACATATAAAAGTGGAGCTTGGAAGGGCCCCGCAATTTTTGTTTCTTATTCTCTTCGTGTTTATTTTTTCCGGTAGATGTTCTCATGTTTCCCATGAAGTTTTCGAGAAATATTTCCGATTTTCGAGAGAATTCTCCGGTTTTTGAGAAAATTCTAGTAAAATTCTTTGATTTTTGACAAAATTAGAGGGGGTTGGGGTAATATGGACATTCGGGGTAAAATGGACACTCAAAAATTTGCGAATTTTTTTTTTTCAAAATTCAAATTTTTGCAAATCGTTTCATTGGGCATTATGGACACCTGATAAATCTGTGTGGGCGGGACTAAAATGAACACTCAAAACATTTTCAATAATTGATTTTTAAAAATTGCTTCTTGGCAAAGTCTACAACTGAGAAATTATTCAAGAGTGGGCTAAAATGGATATCCGAAAAATTTGGTTCTATCCAAAAATAAAGAAAATTTTTAAAAGACATTTTCCAACAGAATCGTATCGGTATCGTTTTATAAAGAAAAATTAGAGTTGGGAAAGATATTAACAAACAAACTTCGACTCTATTAAATTTTACATTGAAGTTTGAAATACAAAGTAGCTTTGAATTTCCTATTTTACTCTTTGAAATAACTTTGAAATTATTAATTCTTTTTCAATGATCAATTGCATGCCCTACACATCTGACTTTTGTCCATTTGTGAAATTTGTAAGATGACTACTTTTCTACTCACAGAGGAAATCACCATCCCAAGTAGCAAACCTTGCGAAAGATATCTGATACCAAAAAGGCTGACTAATCTCCGTCCAAAAGGTATCTTGCAGTCATACGATAACTGTTAGTTAACTTCTAGGTAACTTCTAGACACAAGTTATCTTTTTGGACAGACATTAGACAGCCTTTTTAGTATACTTGCAGATACCCTTCAGAACTGTGCTGCTTGGGATAAAACAATAGGCGAAGAGAAGGATAAATGAGGAAGGAAAAAGTTGATTTACCACCCCCCATGACGAACGTCAAAAATAAGTTTTTTTTTTCAATTTGAAAATCGCAATCATGACTAGCGTTTCAGAAATTGAATAAAATTGTTGAAACATAAAAAATTGAGAAAGAAATCAAGGTATCCATTTTACCCGGTTTTTTCTTACGACGCACTCTTATGAGAATCTGTTGGCTTTTATGACCTTCAAATGAAGTCGGAAGAGTAGATTTGATCGAATTCAACTCATTATTTAAATCTGGCGTCCATATTGCCCCACTCTCTCCTATTATATCTCGAATTTTCAAAAAAAAAATCGAGGAAATTCTAAGGTGTTCGAGAACGTTTTAGAAAACTTTTAGGTTTTCGAGAAAATTCTAGAAAAATTCTCCTGTTTTCGAGAAAATTATAGGGATGGACCAAGTTGATATTTGGACTCTCCATAATTTCCTGTGTTTGAGAGAAAATTGAGAGTCAGTTGAGAGTCGGAGTGACGAGGCCAAAAATACATTTTATGCAAAGCGATCTGTTTACTATCGATTTTCTAACCTGTCAGTAGGCGCGCGGTTCCACCACCGTTCTTGAGACGTGCGATGAGGGAATCGCTCATTGGCTTCTCGTAATAATAGAGCCAAATATCGCCATACGCCAACGTCACGAGGGTCACTAGGGAGAGGGTCATTAGTGGGAGAGGGTCAAACGTCACAAGGGTCACTAGGGGGAGAGTCAAACGTCACGAGGGTCACTAGGGGGAGGGTCAAACGTTACGGGAGTCACTAAGGGGAGGGTCAAACGTCACGAGGGTCATTAGGTCACGGTGGTCACTAGAGGGAGAGTCAAACATCACGAGGGTCACTAGGGGGAGGGTCAAACGTCACGGGGGTCACTAAGGGGAGGGTCAAACGTCACGAGGGTCATTAGAGGGAGAGGGTCAAACGTCACAAGGGTCACTAGGGGGAGAGTCAAACGTCACGAGGGTGATTAGATGGAACGTCAAACGTCATGAGGGTCACTAGGGAGCGGGTTTGGCTCTCCCTCTAATGACCTTAGTGACGTTTGACCCTCCCTCTAGTGACCCTCGTGACGTTTGACCCTCCCTCTAGTGACCGCCGTGACCTTTGACCCCCGTGACCCTCGTGAGGTTTGAC